CTCAAGATAAGCAAAGAGAAGTAACCAAAAATATTTTTTTTTGCTTATCAGGCTTGAAAAGTTTTATTTGTGCAATATCTGGGTGATAGGCTGAGATAACAAAATGGAAAAGCCAAAACAAATATATTTGTTTATAGTGATGACAGGACAAAAATAAAACCTCACTGTAGCTACATCACTTTGGACTTCTATTGTTACAATCATATTGCTATTATTTCCAGAGTTGAAACAATTGTGCTCACTAAAAAACCTGGGTTCAGCTGGCCCGGCTGATACTACCCTGTAAGGGCTCCAAGGGGTCGGTGGAAGGCTGGTTAAACCGTTTGGTTTTCGACCACTACGACCCGGGTTGGATTCCCGCATTGGACACTTTTTTCTGATTTAAAAAAAAAATGCTCCAATGGCCCTCGATTCTTGCAAAAGTCCAACCCCACCAGCAAGTGCAAGTAACCAAACGGGGCTCTGGCACATTTGTAAGTGCAAAGTCGAACTGCTTTTCACATGAGTAGACATGTGGTGCGCTTACAATAAAAGCAGTCGCTAACTACCCACCATGATTATAATGGCCTGTACCACGTGTACTAGGGATAATTAAAAAAAAAAAGGATGTACTCCATGTAAGGAGCAGCTGCACATGGCATCTGTTCCTCATTGCTTGATACCCTAATATGATTGAGTGGAGATAAGAAAAAAGAAGAGAAGTATGTAACAGCGCTGTTACTGAAACATCATACACTATTAATTTATTTGGATTAGGTCTTATTTTCTTGAAGAGAATATAAAAGTTCCGCTTAATGCAAAATTTGTTAACAAGAAAATTTACCTTCAAATGAAAAAAAAAAAAAGATATTTTCAAACTTTATACACTATTATTTTATTTGTTTACATTTGGCCAAAAAATGATTTTTTTTTTTAAACATTAGAAAGCCTTAAACACAAGGTAATAAAACCAAATCTGAATAAATAAATAGTATGTGACGTTTCGGTAACAGCGTTGTTACTATCTTTAGACAAAAGTACTGAATGCTATTCAATACTTTTGTCTGAAGATGGTAACAGCGTTGTTACAGAAACGTCACACACTAATTTATTTATTTGTATTTGGTCTTATTACCTGGTGTTTATAATCTATAATCCAAATTGTGCTTTATCATTAAGAAAGGCTTGTTTTAAAGGTGAAGAAAAAAAATGATACGGTACAATATGGATTGAAATGAAAATAAATGATAGCAATGTGTTTCTTTAAATGTGTTTAAAGTTTAAAGAAACACATTGCTATCGTTTATTTTCATTTCATACTTTATAGCAATTCTTTTGTCTATTTACAATATGGATTGAAGATCGGAAACTTCTTTCTTATCTCCAATCAACAATCATATCAGGGTATCAAGCTTGTAGAGCTTGCTGATGGTGTCTGCTGGGGATGAGTAGAGCTCATCAATGGATGATTCAATACAGTCAATAATCGGAAGATAGAATCCTCTGAAATATAAATTGTAACAACACACTGTCTCTGAGGATAAGTTTGTTGTTTTTAACTTATCCTTGGAGACAGTATGTTGTTACAATTTATATTTCAGAGGATTTTATCTTCTGATTTTTGCAACAAAAAAAAGTTCTAAAATGTATTCTTCTGATTATGAGATGAATCGATATATGAATATTATCCATAGGAAATCTTTATCCCTAGTACATGTAGTACAGGCCATGATAATTATGGTGGGTAGAAGTAAGCAACTGCTTTTACTGTAAATGCACCAATGTCTACATATGTGAAAAGCAGTTCGACTTTGCACTCACAAATGTGCCAGAACCCTGTTTGATTACTTGCACTCACTGGTGGGGTTGAACTTTTGCAAGAATCGGGGGCTATTGGAGCATTTTTTATTATAAAAAAGTGCACAATGCAGAATTCAATCTAGGGTCGTAGCGGTCGAAAACCAATGGTTTAGACCAGCCCTGGCCAACCTAAATGACACCACGGGCCGCACGGAATTGTAAACAAGGTCTAAAAACTTTAATTATATCAAAATTTTAACTTTAAAATGTATTTTAAAAAATACTTAATACTTCCTTGATGCTTAATGTTTTTATTTATTATTTTTCGGCTGCTTTTTTGAATTAAAAATAATAATTTTTTAAAATAAAAAAATATTTCTCTATTAATTACCATTATTCCTAACTTTTTCATCCTTTTTATGGAATCAAATATGTATTTTAAAAATTGTGGGACATATTTTAAATAAAAAAATTATTATAATTATTTAAATATATTTTCTGTTTTTGAATATACAGGCGAGAAATGAAAGTTACAAAAGAAATAAAGTTAAATGGCGAGCTGCAACATTTTTTACGGTGGGCCGCGGGTTGGCCAGGCCTGGTTTAGACCATCCTTCCACCGACCCCCATAGGAAACCCCTCATATTCAATAAAAGAAGCACAGACAAAAGTTTTGTACCTCCCTCCCTAAGAATAAAGGATCCAGTAAAGAACCCTTATTCAGCTGAGGTCATCAGGAAAACACAAATGAATATTTTGAGATCAAAGCAAAAAACGTATCCTCAGAGGCAGTGTGTTGTTACAAAAGTCAATAATGTAGTTTGAGGTTGCAGGTTGACACTTAGTACATAGTGGGAAAACCTTGCGACCATTCTGGAAAGTCATTGTCCATAGATGACCAGACGTAGATGATCACAAACATATGGTAACATTTTGAAATAGAGCAATCCATAAATAAATCTTTAATTAAAAAAGCATATATTGGATTAAAATATCATTTATTTTACCAATATTTCAGTTGGCTTAATGCCAACGTTTATCAAGGTATTATAACATTTAATATGTGTCAACAATTTTAAAAACTTAATTTTTTTTTTGCTTATCCCTAGTACACGTGGTACAGGCCATGATAATCATGGTGAGTAGAAGTAGGCGACCGCTTTTACTGTAAGTGCACCACATGTCTAAATATGTGAAAAGCAGTTCGACTTTGCACTTACAAATGTGCCAGAGCCCTGTTTGGTTACTTCCACTCGCTAGTGGGGTTGGAATTTTGCAAGACTCGGGGGCCATTGGAGCATTTTTTTTTTAAACAGAAAAAAGTGCCCAATGCGGGAATCGAACCCGGGTCGTAGTGGTCAAAAACAAACGGTTTTAGACCATCCTTCCACCGACCCCAAACTTAATTCTGTTGACGTTATGTGGTGCTGAGATTGTTGTTGACACACTTTAAAATGTTATAATACCTCTATAAAGGTTGGCGTTCAGCCAACTGAAATATTGGTAAAATAAATGATATTTTGATCCAATATATGTCTTTTTAATTGAATATGGTAACATGTCAGAGATGTGTAGATGAGTGGTAGAAACCATTTTCAACAGCCACAACCCAGGATCGAATCCCACATTCGGCAATTTTTTCTCATGGCCCCAGATTCTTGCAAAATTCAAACATCACCAGTATCAAACAAGGTTCTGGTACATTTGTAAGTATGGAAATCAAACTGCTTTCTACATATGTAGACATGTGGTGCACTTACAGTAAAAGTAGTTGCTATCATGATTATCATGACCCGTATAATGTATACTTGAAATAAGTAAACAGCAGGTAATAAAAGACCAAATTATACAGCTTATGGATTTGGTATTTTGTTACCAGTTATTGTTTTACTTATTTCAACGCCTATTCCGCCTTTGCTGGTCCCAAGCCCGGAGGAAAAAGGAGGAGGGGGAGTAGTAACAAGCTCGCTAAAAAACCTGATAGTACCCTTTTAAGGGCTCCTAATCCAGGGATGCAGGATGAGCAGCGTTTGTACTCCATGTTAGGAGCGGCTGCACATGGTGTCTGTTCCTCATGTCAGAGGCGGCCATTTCTTTTGGAGCTAAGTCATTTTTTTTTTGCTTATCCCTAGTACACGTGGTACTGGCCATGATAATCATGGTGGGTAGAAGTTGGTGACTGATTTTACTGTAAGTGCACCACATGTCTATACATGTGAAAAGCATATTTGGAGCCAAGTTGGCCTGCCACTGAGAAGTGCTCCCAGTCTTAATGACCTCAATATGATTGAGTGGAGATAAGAAAAAAAAAAAGACTTATTTCAATGATTTTATTTGAATGCTGTTACAGAAATCCCAAGACCACACACACACACCCTATAATATCTGAGTGAGCATCAGACATTTGGCCCAATTTCAAACTAAGCCTCTTATTGGTAGTGACGTCACAGTGATGCACGATTGTAAACAAAGGCTATGATTGGTTCGTACTATGTACCACTTCCTCAAACTCTGGGAATTCTCTGATTGGTTCTTACTCGTCGATATACGATTTTTTTAAACAAAATTTAATTATTAATTTTTTTAAATACCTGTGGTTACTTTATATTGATGCTATATTTTTTTTGGCTAAATGGCCTTTTTTTTTTAATAGAAATTTTTTAAAAATAATTTAGCATAATTGTAAACATATAAAATGAAAAGATTTAAAAGCACGAATGTTTCTTTTATACATAATACAAACTTCTACTGTCCTTACTGCAATGAAAAATTTATATATTGGGAGAGGTTGACTCATCAGTGGTGAACCCTCCCAGTGGTTTCATCAATTTAATCCACCAGACAAAGTTTGTATTATGTATAAAAGAAACATTCGTGCTTTTAAATCTTTTCATTTTATATGTATAGATGGCGCGTTATTGCTTTGTGTTAATTGTAAACATGTTATGAATACACGTCGTTAATACCTTGAAAGTAATAGTGTGTGACATTTCAGTAATAGCCTTGTTCCCAAAGTCACTCTATTTGGTCTTGTCTTATCATCTTGTGTTTTTAAAGCTAATTTTTTAGATATAAATGCTTATTTCTACATAACTTATATTGCAATTAAATTGAATTAATATATGCAGTTATCAGCATCATAATCAATTCTTTCTTAATCAATTCTGTCACCGTTTGCTTTGTGAATGGAATAAATACCCAAATATGGCCACTTCTCATAACCATCGGTGGTTCAGTGGTAGAATGCTCGCCTGCCACGCTGACGGCCCGGGTTTGATTCCCGGCCGATGCATTTTTTTTTACAATTTTTAAAACTCATTTGTATATTATACAAGAATGACATTTATAATTGTAACGAATAGTATTTGAATAAAAGCATATAATCGGGTAAAACCCGGGCGGTGCCCGGGTCATTCGGCTAGTAAGAAAGAATCATCAGAAGTGAACCTTTTCAACAGTTTTGCCATGATAAAATGTTACATTTGCTTTATAAGTAAATATATCTGAGAATAGAGCAATCCATACTTAAATCATTAGATAATAAAAAGGCATATATTGGATTGAATAAAATATTTATTTGCCAATATTTTGGTTGGCTGAATGCCAACCTTTATTGAGACATTACATTACATACAGGGATTATCGAGGTATACAAAAATGTAATGCCTCGATAAAGGTTGGCATTCAGCCAACCAAAATATTGGCAAATAAATATTTTATTCAATCCAGTATGTCTTTTTATTATCTAATTAACATATAAATAGTGTCTAGTTTATTCTCCCGCTGATTGGTTTATCTCTGTCTACCAGCGCCGCTAGGAGACTCATGCATACTTCAGTTACAGTTTATGCGATGGGGCTACAATAGGAAGTAACAATTCTGATTATGAATGGTCGTTGAGACTCATGCGAGAACTCACAAAGTGTTGCAGTGTGTATTAATGTCTTCATTCATTGTATATAGTTTGCACGTTATTTTATATTATTATTATATTATATAATTTAAACATAGAAGAGATCCAGGAGAACGACCTAGAGCAGATGACACGAGACCTGACCAGGAGTCAAGATAGCAAATGTAAATATCTTTGTTTACTTTTACTGTTGTTACTTATTGAAGTTGTAAATAAAAATATGTAAATAGACTGACCATTCGCTACACTTTTTAGAGAAAAACTTGTAACCTTTTGAAAAATAAAGTTATATTATATATATATTATTATAATCCACCGGTGCACAGAGGAGGCCCTGGAGTGGATTCGTCACCTCGACATTCCACTCTAGAGAAACTTGCCAACATTGTTGTATTGTGCTGTAAAAAACAATATCATACGCAATATATATATTAGCAGCCAATTAGAAAGGTCAAAATCTGTCTCAGAACTTGTATAATTTCAATATACATAAATGTTAAAAAGATGGCCGTTTAGCCCATTGAAATATCGGAAATAAAAGATTATTTATTGAATCCAAGATGTGCCCTTTATGAACAAATAAAAATATGTAAATAGACTGACCATTCGCTACACTTTTTAGAGAAAAACTTGTAACCTTTTGAAAAATAAAGTTATATTATATATTATTATTATATTATATAATTTAAATACTAAATATAATGTGCCAAATGTATTATACAATGCCTAGTCTCCATTAGCAAAATAATTCCATTTTTAAAACAACCAAAACTAATATAATAATAAACCCTTTCAGGTTATTTTAGCAGCCAATTAGAAAGGTCAAAATCTGTCTCAGAACTTGTATAATTTCAATATACATAAATGTTAAATGTAAAAATAATTTATTAAAATTTTTAATAAAATGTTTAAATGCAAGTTGCAGTTCCCCAGTTCAAAAATAACTTTATTAGGTACTGCTAAAAAAACCTGATATAGCTAAATGAGATGCATTAAAATGAATTATTCATCTAATTATTAAAAATAGAAACGTATTTTTTAGTTAATATGCTTTTTGTTTTTTTTTTCCTAAGTGTTTGCCTCATTTTTATTAAGTTGATCTACAAATGTGTGGTGTGTTGATAAATCCAGTTGTTTAAAAAATATATATTATATAATATTTGAATAATCGATTTGTATATTAACATTACGAAAATACACTTATCGAACCACAATATATATATTGAATTATTTTAAAACAAAAACCTTTAGTAAGGTTGTAATGTAAAACAAAAATAAAATGAACAAAACGTTTTATAATACTCCGAAAATATGGATTTACTATAGAGAGCAAAAATAAAACAATGTTCAAAAATTATAATTTACTCACAGGTAATCGAAATTTTTAAAGGAGATGCGGTATTGAAAGAGTTGTTTACTTACTATTATCGCTTTTGAAGTTAGAAAGAAAAAAAGATATGCCGCAGAGGTACTAGATGTATTCTTAACTTTCTTAATTTTTATTTGTTTGTGAACAGAAGTTTTTTTTTTATATATATTATTATTTTATTTTTAACAGAGGTGACTCGAGCTCTCTCTCTTAGAGACTATTTTTTGAAATTAGTATATAATAAAAGTGAAAAATATTTTTCTTTGAAATAAAAAAAAATTAACCAAAAGGCTTTTTTATCTTTCCTTTCAGCAATTTTTGATAAAAATCGAAATATTTATTTTTTTTTACATTGATATATCTTTTTGCCCTAAGAAACATATTTTTGTTTTACTTTGATAAAGAATTTATTTCAGCATATATATATGTAATGTGCTGTCGGATTGTGCTGCTGTCGACTGTTGCTGCTGTGTCGTAATCCTGTCGGTTTTATGTGGAAATCCTGTCGACTCTCTGTGATGTGCTGGCGGTGTCTCTGTCGAATCCTGTCGACTTACTGAATGATTCCTGTTCGACTCTCTGTAGTGATCCATGTCGACTCTTATGTGATGTGCTGCTGTCGTGGTGTAAGATGGTGATGCGCAGTCGTGATGTGGTTGTGCAGTCGTGATGATGATTGTGCAGTCGTGATGATGATTGTGGTAAAACCACAGAGACGAATCAAAGGAGAATTCGAGGAGGCATCGGGGAGAGAACGCAGCGGCCAACGGCCACCTACTAACGGACTATCTGTTCTGCTGCTAACGAACTTTCTAACTGACTGCCTGATATGTTGCAACACACAACCGTCTACTCTGACCTTGACTCTGATTGGCTGCGCGGCAAGCCCTTTGTTAGCTCAGGCGTAACGATGCGCCTCGGTGTCTAGCGTTTGATCTTAGGTTTTGGTTTATAGTCTGGCCTTGGTGGCTAAGTTCTCTAGATACCTTTGTATTTATTTAACACACCAAATCGAAACATACAAAGTTAATGGTTTAAATGAGGATTGGGTACAATGACAATTAGAGTAGGGGGTGTAAGAAGGGGTGGGGAGTATATACACAGGTGTTTTCATCCTTAAATTACCACATATATAGTTTTTTTTGCTTGCTTAATGCAACATTTTAAAATTATTATTATTCCTAATATATATATGTAGTATATTTTGAGTTAGATAGTTTCACAACCTTCTTCTGATATTTATTATATAATCCCATATCTATATATAAAAATATGTATCGAACAATGGAAGTGACAAATAAAACAAAGAGGACGAGGTAGACCAGACGAAAACAACTCGGCGCCAGAAAGTGGCGTGATTACAGTAGCCAATCAGGAATCACCACATATACGGGCGTCCAATAATATAAAAGGCCCAGAAAAGAAACAAAGGCAGTTGTTTTCAGAGCGACGCCGTTATACGGTCAGTTGGACCTCTCACCCCCCTTCTATCCGCGTCGGCCGTGGTCCGCTGCCTTCGTCCGTGGTCTACCTCTTTCTCTTGGAGTTACCATCTAGACCTGCCTCTGTTCTTTGCTGTCCCAGTGCGGGAATCCCATCACGCACCCACTACCACGACTGCCCAGCACATTCCACATCGGGTTTACTACAGACTCCGTTAAAGTCGACAGGATAACTGAGGACAGCGGCATGCAGAGGATGACGGAGGCTGGAGACGAATACGTCGCTCGCGGATGCCCTCACCAACATGCAACCCCACTGCAAAGACCTAGTAAGCCGCCTAAAAGACGCCATGCGAGGACTAGCTGCGCCTCGCACCGAGGAGGTCATCATCGCCCCCATCGACATCTCCTGCACCACGAACATCTCCCCCATCGACTCGAACAAGCAGACAAGATTCATCGAGAAATCCTGGCATTGCCCCGCCAACCAGCATCGACGATGTCCCATGGCAACCATCGCAAAAAGTGACCACCAGGCCCCTTCAGCGGGACAACAACTAAAGACCAAGTTTCCTGACTGAACAATCCTCAAAACTGTGAGTTTTTAAAACAACTTGATTCTCCATAAATTTAATGTTTATTTTCACACTAATCAAATTTTGCAATTTTTATATCATTTCAATTCAAATTTTAAATCTTGTACACCCTCATTTATCAATTTTTACTTTATTTTAAGCAACTTTCAAATTTTAATTCATTACTTTCAATGTTACAAAAAAAATCATAGTATATTTTAATTACTCGAATCATATTTTCTAAACTTATTTGTGTGTTTTTTTTAAATATCTTATTTTATACCAAAAACACCAATGTCTTAATCAAATATTCAAAACTTTGCAAAAATCGTTTTTATGTTCACTATTTTATGTACACGCCCCATTCAAATTATAAGTCACTATCATGCCATTGCCCTTTTACAAGTATAATTTTCGCACTACCATAATCAACAATTTAAAATAAATATTCAAATTTTAATAAACATAGGTGAAACGCATTTTTTTTAAATACAAAAAATCGAAAGATACAATATCTTCAAAAGCACAACTAGAAAAGTAACTGTCCTTCCCCAAAACAAGTTGAAAATTCCAACATAGCTACACTCCCTCGTCCTTTTCCTTTTACATGCATAATTATTAATCATTCACACATCTCTCTCAACAAACTTCAACACACTCCCACATCACTTTCTCCAATTGGCCACCATCTATTAACGCGCGATTTAACAACACATCCAATTTCGAGCCACACGAGCGCCATATCGTCGCGAACAAAAATATTTCGCGATAAACATGCCACCTCTATAACAATCTGAAAATTCTCGATGTGTTTTGTACAACCACCACCAATGACTAATAAATTTGCTATTCATTCGGAAACAGGTTAGATGCTGTACCAAAAACAAAGACTTCACGTGACACCTTTCCATTCAATTCACTCACTAGTGTCACACAGCGCATCACAACAATTTTTCTCACTTAATAGGCCACAAAGACGCCTTCTCACCCCAA